GCCTCAGAACCCGGGTCTCTAATTAAAACAGTGGAAACTTAGATATCTTCACGGATTCATCACTGCCGCCACCGGCTGTCACCGGGAAGGCTTCGGGGCCACCCCCACCTTGTTTGTATGCCAGCGGGGTCCCATTGTTGGCCTGTGTGTGTGCGAGTGTGTGTGTGTGTCCATGTGTCAGCATGCGTCTCTGTCAGTGCGTGTCAGTGTGTGTGTGCAAGTGTGAGTGCACGTCAGTGTGTCAGCATCTGCACGTGTGAGTGTGCATCTGTATCAGTGAGTGTGTCCATGTCTGCACGTGTGAGTGTGTGTGTTGGTGTGCGTGGGTTACAAGTGTGTGGGTGTGTCCATGTCTGCACGTGTGAGTGTGTGTGTCGGCGTGCGTGGGTTACAAGTGTGTGGGTGTGTCTTGTGTGCACGTGTGAGTGTGCATGTCGGTGTGCGTGGGTTACAAGTGTGTGGGTGTGTCTGTGTCTGCACGTGTGAGTGTGTGTGTCGGCGTGCGTGGGTTACAAGTGTGTGGGTGTGTCTTGTGTGCACGTGTGAGTGTGTGTGTCGGCGTGCGTGGGTTACAAGTGTGTGGGTGTGTCTTGTGTGCACGTGTGAGTGTGTGTGTCGGTGTGCGTGGGTTACAAGTGTGTGGGTGTGTCTTGTGTGCACGTGTGAGTGTGTGTGTCGGTGTGCATGGGTTACAAGTGTGTGGGTGTGTCCATGTCTGCACGTGTGAGTGTGTGTGTCGGCGTGCGTGGGTTACAAGTGTGTGGGTGTGTCTTGTGTGCACATGTGAGTGTGTGTGTCGGTGTGCGTGGGTTACAAGTGTGTGGGTGTGTCTGTGTCTGCACGTGTGAGTGTGTGTGTCGGCGTGCGTGTGTTACAAGTGTGTGGGTGTGTCTTGTGTGCACGTGTGAGTGTGCATGTCAGTGTGCGTGGGTTACAAGTGTGTGGGTGTGTCTTGTGTGCACGTGTGAGTGTACATGTGTGCACACAAGCCAGTGTGCATCTGTGTGTCTCGGTGAATGTGTCAGCGTGTGCGTCTGTGTGTGTGTGCGCGCGTGCGTGCATGCCCATGTTTTCTCTTCCTCGTGTTCTACCTTTTCTGCTTCTTTCCCTTTACTTCTTTCTTTTTCTCGAGTCTAGTGGTCAACCAGGAGGAGAGAATTTCATCAACCAGTGATTTTCATCACCTCTCGGAGCTTGAAAAAACATCACTGCTCAAAGTGATCTTATGCTACATCTCAATTAATCCTTCCAATAGCCAGGCAAGGTGGTTTTATCAATTCTATCTACTTTACAAAAGAGGAACTGAGGCCAGGTGAGCTTGGCTCCCTGGTCCAGGTGACCCAGCCCGGGGCTGAGCTGGGTTTGCACCCCAGCTTGCTCCCCACCCCTACCCGATCTGACCTCTGCATAGACTCTGCCACCTTTAGGTGTCCAGCCCTGTGCCAGAAGTCCAAGGGAGGGACATGGTGGTAGCTGTGAGTGGACGGCACAGGTTGGTATGTAAGTACCCTTCATTTTGCAGAGAGGGAATTGACACTTGGAGATTGGAGCCGGTAGTGTGGGCCAGCTCCCAGCTCCTGACCCTCACAATTCCCTGCACCCAGATCTCTTGGCCTGATGTTGCCTCTAGTCCCCAAACCTGCTCTGCCCCACATGTTGGCAGAACCTAACCGCTGAGGTCTAATGCCCCCAGGGGCATAAATGTCTGAGCTCCTCATGTCAGCCTAGTAATTCTGAGGTATGATCTGTGATTTCACATGGGCTTAGTTTGATGGGGAGACAGTCAGTAGTTCACAAATGTGTGTACATGTGTCAGCAAGAGTGTGACACACAGCAAGTGTGTTATACACAAGAGTGTGATGTAACATGAGCTAGAGACACACGGGAAGTAGCAGGGTGGCTGCTGCTGAAGAACAGGGGCACCAGTTTGTACAGGGTGGTCAGGGAAGGCCTTGGAGGAGGCATTGACTGGTGTACAGACCTGAAGGAATTGAGTGAAGGAGCCATGAAGAGATATGGGAGGACAATATTCAAAGCAGGCAGAAGAGAAGGGGAAAATGGTGGTTGTTATCATCACCATCATTACCATCCTCCCCATCCCCACCACAATCATCATCCTCACCATTCTCACCATCCCCACCATCACCATCACGGCCATGACCACCATCCCCATCCTCACCATCCCATCACCATCACCACCAGGACCACCATCATCATGATCATCACCATCCCCATCATCATCACCACCATCACCATCATCACCATCCCCATCCTCACCATCCTTACCATCCCCACCACCATCCCCACCACAATCCTCCTCCTCATCATCATCATCACCATTATCACCATCATCATCCTCACCATTCTCACCATCCCCACCATCACCATCACCGCCATGACCACCATCCCCATCCTCACCATCCCATCACCATCACCACCAGGACCACCATCATCATGATCATCACCATCCCCATCATCATCACCACCATCACCATCATCACCATCCCCATCCTCACCATCCTTACCATCCCCACCACCATCCCCACCACAATCCTCCTCCTCCTCCTCCTCATCTCCATTATCACCATCATCTCACCATCCTCACCATCCCCACCATCACCATCACCGTCACCACCAGGACCACAATTACCATGATCATCACCATCACCACGATTATCATCACCACCATCATCATCATTCCAATTCTAATTCACTTGGTCCGGGTGGGATGCTGTGGCATTTTGTTAAAGCTCCCCTGATGATTCTAAAGTACATCACCAAGGATGGGAGCTGCCGCCACCCTGAGCTAAAACACCTAAAAGGCAAAATTTCATGTTAAAATTCCATATCACAAACCTCTATGGGGTCGATTTTCTTACTCATCCCATTGTAGATGGACAACAGATTCAGAGAGAATAGGGGACTTGGTTAAGACACCAGCCCACCAGTTGTGTGGGGCCCATGTGATCCAAGTGCACACCCTCAGCCATTGTCTCTCCTCACTGGCCACTGAGTCAGAGACAGAGACATCTTCAGAGCCTCGGCACATAATATGCTCCCAGGGAATATTGTGGATGGGTTAAAGCTTGTTTCCAAGCCAGGACCTGCAACTCCCAGCCCAGGACACCTCCACTTCCCATCTTTGCCCCAAATGTATGCTACCTTTTGAAGAAGAGAGCCAGCCGTGAGAAGCCAAAAAATCGATAAAGGTGATCATATCACCATAGCTGTTACTGTGGTTGCTGTTTCTCACATTACCGAACCCCACTTGGTGCAACATTCTAAGAAGCATCTTTATATCTGTTAATTTGTAACACGCATACAAGAGGGCTGCCAGTCACTTCCCTGCTTTCTCAGATGAGCAAACCTAAGGCAGAGAAAGATTAAGAAACTTGCCTAAGTCACACAGCTGGTGAGCGGCAGAGCCAAGATCATGCATCAACTTTGACTTTTTGGGAACTCAGCCTCATCCCTCCATCCCTTGCCCTCACACCAGCTTTTAAGAGAAAATGTAGCCTTGAAACCGGAGGCTTCGGTTCTAAGCAGCAATGAGCTTAGGCAAGAACCTCTCTGAGCCTGTTTCCTGGTCTGTAAATGGGGGGGGGGGGTGACTTGGTGCTTCCTCTGCTGATCTCATAGGGTCATCGTTGCAACTAGAGCAGAAGGGATGTGGCTGTATTTTGTAAACTTCCTAGCTCCGTGCACATGACATCCACCCTGCTTCGTGGGCGACTCACGTGTGGCCAGCCGTTTTGGCCCCAGGGAACTTCTTCAGCCTGTCAGCTCCCGGGGCATCTCTGCCACCCCTGCTGCAGGAGGGCCCGGAACGATGCTCCGTCTTCAGGCGTCCTCTTGGTTCAGGCTTATGCTCATACAGAGAGCAGCTGAGTTCCTGCACCCCATGTGCTTCCCCATCCACAGCCACCCCTCACTGCCAGGCTGGATGGCAGGACAGGCTGGGTATGGAGGCTGGCAGTGGAGATGGTGATGGTCCAGAATTGGAGCCTCTGGGACACGCTGAAAACACACATTCTGGAGCCCAGCATCAGAGATGCTCTGGGGGATCTGCGTTAGCGGAGTCCCCTGGCCAGTTCTGCAGCCAGCAGATTGGAGATTAGAGTCTGTTCATCCAACAAACCTGTACAGGCTCTGACTCCGTGATGCACCTTGAGTGCTAGCTGGTTAGGTTCTGGAGCTGCCTGCCATATCGGGGATCATGTCTGGATCTTCCATACTTCGGCAGGTTATTTAATCTCAGTGGTTTGTTCATCAGTACCAAGAATAATGTCTAACACAACTGGGTATTTACCCCAAAGATACAAAAGTAGGGATCCGAAAGGGTACATGCACCCCTATGTTTATAGCAGCAATGTCCACAATGGCCAAACTGTGGAAAGAGCCAAGATGTCCATCGACAGATGAATGGATAAAGAAGAGGTGGTATATATATACAATGGAATATTATGCAGCCATCAAAAGGAATGAGATCTTGCCATTTGCAACGACGTGGATGGAACTGGAGGGTGTTTTGCTGAGCGAAATAAGTCAAACAGAGAAAGACATGTATCATATGACCTCACTGATACGAGGAATTCTTAATCTCAGGAACCAAACTGAGGGTTGCTGGAGTGGGGGGTGGGGTGGGAGGGATGGGGTGACTGGGTGATGGACACTGGGGAGGGTGTGTGCTCTGGTAAGCGCTGTGAATTGTGCAAGACTGTTGAATCTCAGATCTGTACCTCTGAAACAAATAATGCAATATATGTTAAGAAAAAAAAAAAGAAGGTAGCAGGAGGGGAAGAATGAAGGGGGGGAATCGGAGGGGGAGACGAACCATGACAGATGATGGACTCTGAAAAACAAACTGAGGGTTCTAGAGGGGAGGGGGGTGGGAGGACGGGTTAGCCTGGTGATGGGTATTAAAGAGGGCACATTCTGCATGGAGCACTGGGTGTTATGCACAAACAATGAATCATGGAACACGTCATCTAAAACTAATGATGTAATGTATGGGGATTAACATAACAATAAAAAATTAAAAGAAAAAGAATAATGTCTAGTGCATATTGCCTGTTTCCTGCAAGGTAGTCACAACGGTGTGCTGGTAAACACCCGACCGCCGGCGCCCTGCGGGGAGACCGTGATTTCAGTGGTGCGAACCCTCTCACTGTGGCCGATGTGATGCCAGGTTCCCGGTGTGAGGCCGCCGTGCACGGAGGCGGGAAGAGGCGTGCAGCAGCTCCTTGCGGCTTGGAATTTCCACTTCGGGGATTCAGTAGACGTAAATACACTAAGAGCAGAGGTGATCGTAAAAGTAGAGTAAAATTATTTGGAAATGATGAGTTGTGAGTATCATTACCTTTATTTTTCATAATTTACTTAATTTTAACTGTGCATGATTTAATTTTCAATCACAGAACATTTTTTAATTTTATTAAAATTTAGTAGTGCTTATGAGCTGCGACAAGCTGGTTCCAGCATCCCCCTGGGTAGCTACTCTGATTATCCTTATTTTACAGATGAGGACCCTGGAGCACGGAGAAGCTAAGTGACTCGTTCAGGGTCACAGGCTGGGCCGGGATTCAAACCCATTAGTCCGCCTTCAGAACCTAGCCACTGAGGATAATCATCGTCCTAGTCCCCTAGGATTATCGCGTACAGTGCACTTAGATGAACGTCTGGCACCTTCCGTGTGCTCGGTCAGTGCTGGCTGCTATCGGCATCGTTCTGTTCATCCATGCGAGTGACCCATCAGTGCACCCGGCACAGTTTCTGTCCCGATGAACTCTCTGGGTTGGGGCTGTCTGGGTTTGGGTCGTGGCTCCTCCCCTGACTTTGTGAAGCGAGCCCATCAAGTGATCTTGCTTCTTCTCTCCAGGCCACAGGATGAGGCGGCTGCAGAGGGCAGGCCGGCCCTGGGAACAATGCACAGTGCACACTGCCCTGCCTGGACCTGCTATTGGGCAGACAAGCCAGGTGAGCTGGGCTGGTGCGTGTGGCGGGCAGGCAAGCACCCTGGGGCAGCGCAGCCCACCCATCCCAGCCCCTCAGGCCTCCCTGCCAGGTTGGTGTGGGCGTCAGGAAGCCAGCGTCCCGGTCGGAGCAGGCTGTCATTGTCCCGCGAGGTGAAAGCATCGCCGTGGTGCTGGCCTGTGGTGCCCCCACCTCTCAGCCCTTCCTTTGAACCCTGACAGTAATCCCACATGCACATGAGGCCGCCAAGCCAGCGTGTCTGATGTCCTTTCCGGCTTTTGTAATGTCATTTCCCGTCGGGGATGGGGAGATGCGCTATTGATGTGGAAGGGTCACTCGTTGGCATAACATTTCTGACACAAGGAGAACATCAGCACGAACGGACCTTCTGATTCACATATTGTGGGCAGTTCATGCTGGGCTTTCTCGTGTCTTTCTTCCGCCTCCTCCTCCTCCATCTTCCTTGGCCACTTTGGGGACCATCCATTCAGAAAACGTAGCTGTGGAAGTCGAACCCCCGCGGGGGGGGGCCCACATCTTTAGGAAGTGCTTGGTTCCTGGTGAATTAACTGCTGGTGATCTCACTCGAGAATGAAATGTAAAAGGACCCTGAGAAGTCATAGCAGCAAAGCCCTTGAGTCTTTGATGCCGTGAATACCGTTATGATACAATGAGTCTAATTAATATAGTGTGGTATGATCAGATAGTGTAACGTCAGCCGTCCGGAGCAGGGCTCAGCAAGCACTTTTGTAAAGGGCAGGGAGTAGCTATTTTAGCTTTGCCGATTGTCCTGCCTCTGTCGGACTACTCAGCGTGGCCGTTGAAGCAGGAAAGCAGCGTGGACGGTACATTAAGGAACGGGTGTGGCTGTGTTCCAATTAAACTTTACGTGCTCTCATGAAAACCCCCCTGCTTTTGGCCGCGGTCGCAGGCGGCAGGCCAGATCTGGCTCACGAGCCACGGTTTGCCCACCCCTGGCCCCGAGCACTGGTTTAGGAGTCAGACAAGTTGAACTGATATCCTGGCTCCACTACTTTTTGTGAAAAGTGAGAATGTTGGGGAGTTATTTCATCTCTGGTGCCGTCTGTAAAATGCAGATGAGGATGGCGGGTAAAGTACTGGGTTGTGGAGAAGTGAAATAGACCGTGCGTGTGAGATGCTGAACACCGTGCCAGGCAGCAGGAGGGCGCGTTCATGGGAGCTGCCCTGGTTGGGGAGGGTGAGGAGAAGGAGGAGGAGGGTGAGGAGGAGGAGAAGGAGGAGGGTGAGGAGGAGCAGGAGGGTGATGATGATGAGAAGGAGATGATGAGGAGGAGGAGGGTGAGGGTGAGGATGAGGATGATGATGATAAGGAGGTGAGGAGGAGGAGGAGGGTGAGGAGGAGGGTGATGACAATGATGAGGAGGATGATGATGATGATGATGGGGAGGAAGAAGGGGTGATGAGGAGGAGGAGGGTGATGATGAGGAGGAGGCTGATATGAGGAGGAGGAGAAGGGTGATGATGATGAGGAGGGTGAGGAGGAGGAGGGTGATGACAATGATGAGGGTGATGAGGAGGAGGAGGAGGAGGGTGATGAGGAGGAGGAAGGTGAGGAGGAGGAGGCTGATATGAGGAGGAGGAGAGTGAGGAGCAGAGGGAAGGAAGGGGAAGAGGGTGAGGAGGCAGCAGGGGAGGAGGTAGAGAGGAGGGCGGGTCTCCAGCACTCTAGACTCTGCCCTGCTGCTGACCTGGTGGCCTGAGCAAGCTCTTGCCCCTGCCTGGCTTCAGTTTTGTCACCTGGCAGGTAAGGTTGGACTTGGGGGTGCCCAGGCTTCCTTTCCACTCAGTGCTCCTGGGATCCTGCAGGTCCCTCCGTGATGACCAAAACCCATAGGGGACTCTAGCTAGACTGGTGCTGCTTTAGGCATTTCAACGTGGACACGGCACGGAGCCATGGGCTGTGGTCACCTGAAAGCCTGGACTCTGCTGGAAAGCCCGTGGGCAGCTCTGTGAGCTTGAGCGAGCCCCTCATTCATTCATGTGTTCCTTCAGAGACTCTGCAGCATCTGCTCTGAGCGGGGTGACGCTGAAGCAGTGCAGATGGGGACAACCATACCAGCTGGCCACCCTCCTGGGTCTCTCCCTCGGGAGAAAGTCTGATCTGGCAGTGGTCACTGCAGTGTCCACATCCCAGCTCCCAGAATCTGTAAATAGGGTCTTCACAGATGTAAATAATGTAAAGGATCTCAAGATGAGAGCACCCTGGATTTGGGCTGTGCCCTGCATCCGGGGACACGGTACTTCCAAGACACACAGTAGAAGAGACGCAGACACAAGGGAGGCCACGTGAGGACAAAGGCAGGGGTGGAGGGACGTGGCCATGAGCAGAGCCTGGAAGAGGCAGGAAGGACCCCCCACAACCCAGAGCCTTTGCAGGGAGCATGGCCCTGCGACACCCTCCTTGCGGACCCCTGCCTCCAGAGCCGTAAGGGAACACATGTCTGTGGTTTAAGCCCCCAGTTTGTGGCCGTCTGTGGTGGCAGCCGAAGGACGCTGACCCTGTCACCGAGGTCAGCGTGGCTGCGGACAGCGAGGCCTGGATTCTGCCTTGAGCCAGCCATACCTCCAGCATGACGCTTGCTCGTGTCCCTTGAGGAAATGCCATCTCCTGATAAGTGGAAATATTTTTTCAGTGGAGACATTGCAGGTCCAACTTGTTAATGAGGTTCAGTGTCCTGTTTCAATTCCCGGGTCAGTGCTGGTGCAGAAAGGATGTTTCGAGTTCTGAGTGATGCGTGGGCCAAGGAGTTCAGCCAAGTGCGTGCTGGGTCAAGAAGTGATTTCTGTGTGTGCGTGTGCATGCACACGCCTACGTGTTAATATTTTTTTGTTAAGGATCAAAACTATGCTTTAAAAAGTTATAAAACTACATAGTGTGTTGTAAAATACAAGATAATACTGTAGATTATAATCAATTAACTTCCCACCTCGTATCTTTTTGTTCTGTTTGTTTGTTCGTGTTTTGAGTTTGGTTTGGGCTTTATCATTCGTTCCATTTTGGTCAACAAATTCTTAGCAAGTGGGCCCCGGGGCATGGGGGAAGCCCATCTGATTTCCCTACTTTGGAAAGTTAATTTAGCTTTCTATGCTCAGTTTCCTCATTTAAAAATGGAGCTCGTACAGGGGCTCGTGGTTATCGTGAAGATAAAGGAGAAGCCACTCCTCAGGGATCCCAGGCAGTGCCCTCCCTGTAGGCGCCTTGTCTGCGTCCTGTCTTGGGCTTGAGTTTAGGATGAGCATGACATAGCTTACTGAAGTGACACCTCAGTGTTTTTACACGTGTGTGCTGAATGCATGCAACATGGCTGGGAAATGAAATATTTTGGCATAGTTTTTAGTTTTTATTTATTTATTTTTAAAGATTTTATTTATTTTATTATTTAATTGACAGAGAGAGAGAGAGCGTGAGGGGGAACACAAGTAGGGGGAGTGGGAGAGGGAGAAGCAGACTTCCGGCTGAGTAGGGAGCCCGATGCGGGGCTCGATCCCAGGACTCCAGGATCATGACCTGAGCCGAAGGCAGTCGCTTAACCAACTGAGCCACCCAGGCGCCCCTGGCCTAGTTTTTAGATAAATTGATATTTACCCCCTTGGGCACCAAAGGATCCCCAGCTCCAATGCCCTCAGACAAAACAAAATAAAGGAAATCCAAACTCACCTTCGATGAAAATGATTCTAACCTGGAGACCTCTCAGCCAAAATGGCACCGGGAATGGTTTGGTTGCAGCTGATGTTTCAGCCTGGCGAAGGGGTCAGGCCAAGAGAGGACGCAGGGAAGGGGAACCCACGCCCCATTTCCCTCCTCCCTGGACCAGGAATGGCCACCTGCATAAAGGGGACGAGGCTCCTGACAGATGAGGACTCAGCTTTATCGTTGGGGAGGGGGGGCTCAGCTTTGGAGTTAGACCTACCTGGCTTTAGCAGTCATTTAGAAACTTCTGTGAGCCCTGGTGTCTGTCTGTGAAGGGTTTAACCAGAAGAGCCCCACAAGGCTGCTGGAGGGACTGGAGGAGATGAGGTTCAGAGAGCAGTGGAAACAGTGATGGGCCCCGCCCCTTATCCTAACAGATGGTCAGACACGTGCCAGTGCTGTAGTGAGCTCTCCGTCAGGGGAGGCATTCAAGCACTGAGGGGGACACAGGCACAAAGAAGAGTGCTGCCCTGAGGACCTCGAGGTCCCATCCTTCTACAGCCTTTCTCACATCGTCAGGTGCTGTTGAGCCATGGCTCCTTCGTGGGCTGAGCCCAGGTATGCACAGAGCTCCAGCCTTTTCCAGCCCCTGCTTCGTCCATGTCCACAGTGACAGTGACCCCAGGCCACAGCCTGCAACTCTGTCCTACCTATTTTACTGTAGAGCCACTTCAAAACGGTGCTCACTATTAGCCCAGAAATAGACAAGTTCATTTTATAATATTTTATTGTATTTGGGTCACTTTAAAACTTGCCAGCCTTGCTTGAAAAGCTTAATCCCCGAGTGTCCACTCTCCAATCTGTGGCACAGCTCGCTGGAGGAGAGGCTCTCAGCCTCGGCCCTCTCTGTAGGACACCCCCTCCGATCCCAAGTCTTGAAACTTTTTTTGCTACCAAATGATAACAGCTTCCTCGTTCTTTATTCGTGACTCGAACTATGGCAGCCAATCAGAGCATGAGATAATCAGCATGACTGGTTCCCAAAGCAGTGAAACTTGACCTTCAAGTCACTCTGAATTTGACTCGTGTGCAATTTCTATTAGGTTTTGTGAAATTATGAAAATAGCTCCTGGGTCACCAGCGTGACGTGCTCAGAGTGATGGAGAGGCGCCCGCCTGCGCTTCATGCCGGGCCTGTGTGAGGGCCTGGGGATGCAGGCTGCGTGTGCGAGTGCCCTGCTCATGTGGAGGGCTTCCTGGTCCTGGGGGCGAGGAGTGGGGCTGTGTGCAGCCACCAACATTTACAGAACAAGGACATGAGGGAGATCCTAGACCCAAAGAAGGACAGCAAGGACAGCAGAGCTGGGGACTGTTGGGTGTGAAGTCATGGCGGTGGAGTTTCAATGGGATCTTGATGAAGGAGGAGGAGTTCAAGTGGGGAAGGGTGTGTCAGACAGAGGGAACAGCGTGTGCAAAGGCTGGGAGGCCTGGCAGGGCGTGGAGAGCTGGGAGCCAGGGAGAGAGGGACCGTGGGTAGGAGTTAGATTATACACGCCCTGGTGGCTCATGTTGATGTGCCCAGGGGTCTCCAGCAGGGTCTTTTGTCAAAGCTGTTGGCTCTGAGTATACAAACCCCAGCAGGTGTAACTACAGGTACACCTCTGACAGTGTCAGTCCTCATTACAGGAACTCTGACTCCTCGGGGTTTTTTGTTTTTGTTTTTGTTTTGTTTTTGAAACTCTGACTCTTTGAATTGCATAATTAGAAAGACCCCTTTGGCTATATCTCCATCTCAGGGGAAAGAGCCCCTTCTTGACCTTGGTGGGAACTCAGTTCTTGCAGCTGTAAATATTGGGCCTTCCTGGGTACCCCCCAAGAAGCCAGGGTTTGATAGAAGAACACATGTAGAAAAAGGAGGTTGTGGGTCCTCCCATGGAGGGGTGTTTTCTGGGATGGAGGTTTGTGTGCAGGCGTGTACCTGGGGTTAGCACCTGTGGGTGGAGGTGCAGGATGCGGGATGGGCAGACAGAGGGGTGAGCTGAGATGCGGGAGCCCTGGGCCTTGGAGGGCCCTGCAGAGCTGTCCTCGTCCTCGGAGGGTGAGGGTTAGGGTTAGGTGAGGCAGTGCCCCTTAGCTGAGGGGCATGGACGTAGATGGTCATGCAGGTGGCACTCCCAGCATCTAGGGGAAGGAGTACCCGGATGAGCCCCAAATGGTGGCAGCCCCCATAGCATCTGAGTCAGGAACTGAGATCTGACCATTGGGCAAGGATCTGATTGCTCAGGTCCTCACCACCCTGAGCTTTGGGGTCACGACCTGTCCCGGGCTGGCTGGCAAGCTGTGTGGCCGGTTGCTTTGGAATCAGGCGGCCAGCTGTGGTCAGATGCACCGAGGTCTGAGAGGGTGCCCTTGAGTCGAGGCGAGGGCACAGACCACAGGCCCTTTCCAAGGGCAGCTGTGGTGTGGGATGTGTTCAAGCCTTGCTAGTCTGGTACAGCGTTCCAGACTTTCCTGGCTGACCCTAGAAACGGCAAAGTCAGTACATTTAGAAGCAGGTCACATTTAGTACATCTGGTAAATAGCTCATGCTTTTTTTTTTATTAAATATATTAAAATTTTTTTAATTTAATGTCAGCACACAGTGTTATGTTAGTTTCAGGTGTACAATATAGTGATTCAACACTTCCATCCATCACCTGGTGCTCCTCAAGACAAGTGCACCCCATAATCCCCACCACCTGTTTCCCCCCATTGCCCCACCCACCTCCCCTCTGCTGACCAGCAGTGTGTTCTCTAGAGCTAAGAGTCTGTTTCTTGGTGTGTGTGTGTCTCGCTCTCTCTCTTTTTCTCCCTTTGCTCATTTGTTTTGTTTCCTAAATTCCGTGTAAGTGGAATCATGGTATTTGTCTTTCTCTGACTGACTTATTCCACTTAGCATTATACTCTCTAGCTCCATCCTGGTGTTGCAAATGGCAGGATACCATTCTTTTTGGTGGCAGAATAGTATTCCATTGTCTATCTATACCACATCTTCTTTATCTATTCATCAGTCTGATGGACACTTGGGCAGCTTCCATATCTTAGCTATCATTGATAAAGCTGCTGGAGACATTGGGGGGCATATATCCCTCCGAATCAGTATTTTTGTATCCTTTAGGTAAATATCCTTTAGGTGGTGCAATTGCTGGGGCATAGGGTAGCTCTATTTTTAACTTTTTGAGGAATCTCCATAGTGTTTTCCACAGTGGCTGCACCAGTTTACATTCCCACCAAGAGTGTGGGAGGGTTCCCCTTTCTTTGCATCCTCTCCAACATCTGTCATTTCCTGACTTGTTAATTTTAGCCATTCTGACCGACGTGAGAAGGTTTCTCATTGTGGTTTTGATTTGCATTTCCCTGATGCTGAGTGATGCGGAGCATCTTTTCATGTGTCTGTTGGCCATTTGTAGGTCTTCTTTGGAGAAATGTCTGTTCATGTCTTCTGCCCATTTTTTAACTGGATTATTTGTTTGTTGGGTGTTGAGTTTGGTAAGTTCTTTATAGATTTTGGATGCTAGCCCTTTATCTGATAGGTCATTGGCAAGTATTTCTCCCATTCTGTAGATTGCCTTTTACTTCTGTTGATTGTTTCCTTCACTGTGCAGAAGGTTTTTATTTTGATACAGTCCCAATAGTTCATTTTTGCTTTTGTTTCCCTTGCCTCCAGAAATATATTCAGAAACAAGTTGCTAGAGCCGATGTCAGAGAAATTACCGCGTGTGCTCTTCTCTAGGATTTTTATGGGTTCAGGTCTCGCATTTAGGTCTTTAATCTGTTTTGAGTTTATTTTTGCATATGGTGTAAGAAAGTGGTCCAGGCTCACTCTTCTGCATGCGGCTGCCCAGTTTCCCCCACACCATTTGTTGAAGAGACTGTCTTTTTCCCATTGCATGTAACTGTGGGTTCATTTCTGGGTTTTCTATTCTGTCCCATTGATCTATGTGTGTCTTTTTGTGCGAGTACCAGACTGCGTTGATCACTACAGCTTTGTAATAGAGCTTGAAGTCCAGAATTGTGATACCTCCCGTTTTTTCTTTTTCAAGACCGCTTTGGCTATTTGGGGATTTGGGGAATAGACAGCTCACTTATGTCAAAGTTGCCCCTCGGCAATTTGCCGGCTCTGGAAAGCCACAGGCCTATGTGTCCCGTCCCATATTAGAGGCCCGTGTGGCCGGGAAGGCAATCCCCAGCAGCCGTGTGGTCCCAAGTGCTTCCTGACCCTCCCAGTTGCGGGGCGGGTCATCAGCCACCAGGGATGCCTAGGTCTGGCCAGTGAAATGGGAGCACACACAGCACACGCCACGGCCAGGGGCAAGCAGCGGGGGCCCTGAGGCACTGCTCGTGCTGACCTCTCTGCTTCTCGAAAACCTTGCAGCTACAAGGCGGTGGGGCTGCTGAGAACTGGGGTCCTGCGGGAGCACCAGGAGCACAGCACCTGCTGACCCTCACTGGACATGCTAATGAGCAAGAAAGAAACCTATGCTTCGTTGAGCCATGGGGGACTTGGGGGCTTAATTTGTTCCCAAAGCATGATCTGGCCCCTCTGGACTAACACAGAAATTGATGCCAGAGGGGGATGTTGGTATCAGAACAACGTCAAACATGCAGCATCGGCTCAGCAGTCAGCGGATGAAGAGACACACCGGCGCTGGAACCTGTGATCTGCGGAGGCAGATGTTTGATAAGACCTGCAGGAGCTTGGCATACGTGACGAACTTGCATCTTTAGAGAAAGATGTTGGAGCATAACACAAAGCATGCACGCTGCGATTGGCCCCACTTGGCAAAGTACAATAAAAGAGACAAGCTCAAGAAGGCATCTTGTTTACACCAAAAAGGAAAAGGAATCAAGGGTCTTGCGCTGTTGAAAAGCCAGACGCCGCTCAACACAGCAACAGAAAGAGCACAGCTGGAGGAGCTCTGAGAGACAGAGACCTGGGAAGAGCTTGTAAACTGATTTTGGCTAATTACGTTTTCTCGAGGCCAAGCGCAGACTAACGGAGCACTGCCCCGTAAATCCTTTCGGTCGGGTGGAGTGACTCATGGCAGAGATTAATGGCGAGACCTTCCCAAAGAAGCCCAACAAGTTCCAGAGAGAGAAGGTGAGGGTGAAACAGAGAAATACATCCTCATGAGCACTGTGTCTTGAAATGCAAGCAGGCATGTTTATTGACTCATGAGGCTGACGGCAGTCAGATAGACAAGAAGCCTCCTGGCTTTCTCATGAGGGTTTTCCTGCCAACGAAAGCCTTGGTCCCCAACCTTCTACAGGCAGAAGGTGGCCTAGAAAGTGGTACAGCCTCTGAAGAGGGCACATCCCCAATATCCGCTTTGGGGGGCCCCTGGACGATGAAAAGCAGGGAAGAGCTTTTCAGGGATGTGCAGAAGCAAGGGCAGGGAGCCCTGGTCAGGATGCATTTCCCACCCCAGGTCAGCATCCTCCAGGGCTGCCCAGCTGGATTTGAGCAATGTCCAAGACCACTTCCTCTTTCCGAATGGCACTGTTGCCTGGGGTATCCATCCCTCCTCCCCATCCCCCACCTCTGCACACTGCAGGTGGACGGAGGGCAAGTAACTTGTCCTAACTCAGATGTTCCACCAAGAATGTCCGCATCTGCGTCTGCCATCCAGACCAGCATGCATCCCCAAAGACCCCGGGCTTCTCGCCGGAACGGAGTCCTGGTGGACCTTCCGGTTGTCTTGCTTGGAGAGGGGCTGAGTGTGTTGTCTGTGGGGAGAGGGAAGAAGAAGGGGCATTTGGGGACCAGAAGGGCAGACCATAGCAGAGATGGCAATGCTCACTGTTACAGTTACCAATCGCTGTGTCACAAATGGTCCCAACACGAAGTGATTTGAAATAACTGCTTATCATCACTATTCCTCCCTCCCCTGCAGGTGCAGACTTCAGAAAAGACACAGCAAGTTTGCTTTGTCTCTGCTCCGTGATGTCTGGGGCTCCGCTGGGAAGACGAGCAGCTGCGAGGGCTGGTGGCTGACGCGCTCCCTGTCCACGTGCTGCACGCAGGCTCTGGCAGGCACAGCTGGCCACGCTGGGGCTTCCAGAGGATGGAGGGGGGCGTCAGTCCTCTTCAAGGCCAGGCCTGGAGCCGGCCTGCTCTCCCCACCATGCCGCGGGCCCTGGGCTGCCCGTGGGGCTGCTCCACCACCTTCTCTTGCCAGGCTGCGGATGGCTGCAGGAAGGAAGGACCGCCTGAGCCGGCTACACGGGGCTGAAAACGCCGAACTAAGTGAGAGAAGCCCGACTGGACAGGCCATGTGTTGGGTGATTCCATTTATATGAAATATCCAGAACGGGTAGGGGTGTGGAGACGGAAAGATTTGTAGGAGTGACCGCTGGGGGCGGAGGGTTTTCTCTGAGGGGATGAAATGCTCTCGGGTTGACCATGCTAATGGCTAGCTTCATGACCCCGGGCAAGTTCCCTAGCCTCTCTGAGCCCCGGCTGCTGCATCTGGGTAAAATGGCATGAGAACAGCACCTGGCTTACCAGTGCTGTTTAGGCAGATTAGCTGCAGTAATCCGCTCCGTGCCCCGGGCAGCCCTGGCCGACGGGGAGCGTGGTGCTCGTCACGCTCCTGTTGCTTGTGCCTTCTACGGGGGAGAAAATCGAGTCCCGAGAAGCGAGATGATTGTCACAGGGGCTGTGAGGCCGGCCCTTTCCGTCCCTCCCTTCGGGATGCCGGCCACCAGCTGAGTTGGCGAGGTGGGCCTGGCCCGTCGGACCAGCCGCGCCCTCCCCGGGATCCAAGTGAGGCTCAGCCGTGGGGCTGCTGCGGTCTTGGTGCCCATGTGGCTCTTCAGCAGGCCTGCCGTTGTGGTTTGGAGAAATACATGGCATGCTGATTACTTAATCCTAAAACAACGAGAATTTTCTCTTTTTTAAGGGGCAATGACAGGAAGCTGGCAGCGTGGCAGGACTGGCCACACACGTCCTGGGCTCCTTTCTCGGGGGGTGGAGGGAGACGTGGCCTGTGAAGCAGGGCTGAATGGGGATCTGGGGTTGGCCTCCTCCCTCGCTTTCCTCCTGCAGGCCCAGGGGTGCACTCTGAGAACCGGCATGCGGCAAGCCATCCTGATCCCTGCGACCTCGCATCTTTGGATGGAAATGCTGCCCTGGTGGCCAGTGCTCAGCAGGCAGGCCATTTGGGCTGGCCTCGGGGCTCCCGAAAATGAGGGTTCACAAAGAGGAGACTAGCATAACCTGGCCGCCACTTACAGCCATGCACCCTGGGAAGTGGGGATCTTTGTCCCTGAACTTGGGTTCTATCACTCATTTGAGCATTCTCCCCCGGGGACGAAGATTCACTGCACACCAAGGAACCCCTGCCGAACCCTGGGGGAAGCGCTGGACAAGCAGACACAGCCCTCGTGGGGTGCAGGGTCGGGGTGGCAAGATGACCCCCGCAGGGAGTGATGGCCTCGAGAAGGAAGACAGAGCTCTGAGGGGAGACGTTGGATGGCATCTCTCCAACACTGACTGCCACTGTAGTGGGGTGCAGAGTGTCCCCCAAAAGGTGTGTCCACGACCGGGCCCTGTGAGTGTCCCAACCTGAAAACAGTGTCTGCAGACTAGGGATCAAGATGAGACCGTCCTGCATCTGAGCAGGCAGCTCGGAGACACTGGCCAGAGGACAGGCCACGTGTGAGGACAGAGGGGCAGAGATAAGGGCACCTGGGGCCACAGGAGGCTGGAAGAGGCCAAAGGACCCACCCCTAGGGCCTCCGGAGGGAGTGCGGCCATGCCCACACTGGGACTTCTGGACTCCAAGACTGTGAGGGAAGAGATTCCTGATTTCAAGCCCCCTCTCCCCCCCCCCCCCGACCCTCAGTATGACCCAGGGGAGGAAATGTGTCTCACGCTGGACCTGTGTGGCCATGGGATCTGTGTAGCTGTCACGGTGGCTGCTGATGGTGGCTGCCCACCTCCCCCTGGCCTGTGGGGAGGCGCCTGGGGGCTGGCTTCCTTCTCTATCCGAGGGTCCCTCCAGCCTCGAGAAGCTGAGGGAAGCCTCAGCCGGTGACGGGCAGGAGTTTGCAGGTGACCCTGCAGCTTTCTTGGCCCTCTGGAGCCGGCAGCTCGGGCCTCGCCCGGCCCTGCCTTCAGAGGCCCCGCGTCGCTCTGCTGAAGGCAGCATGCTGGGAATCAGGCACCGTGTACGCACTGGGCCTGTTCACCAGCACAGCACCTATGGCCAGGAGCAGGAGCGGGGACGCAAGGACGAGGCCTCACTCTCCTGGCACCCCTGCTCGTGCTGGGCTCATGCTGCGCGTGGGACCCACCCAAGCCCAGCCCCGTGCCCCAGAACTCACCTCCAGGTCCCATCTCACTAAGCTGCCCGGTCCCCCAATGTGGGACAAGCTGGACCCACCTAGTGTTTGAGCCCCATCCCCTCACAGGGGGTCACAGATGACAAGAGAGGATAGCGGTGACCCCGGGCCGTGGCGGGGGCTTCTAGCTCTGGTCTTCTGAGTCCTGTAGCTGCACGATGATGGTGTGAGGAGCTGGACCCACACGGTTTCGTGGGGTCCCTCCTGCCCTACCTGGGGCCACCACCCAGTCCCCTCGGCGCCCTGCCTGCCATTCCCCACCCCACCTGGCCAGAGCAAGCCCCGTGCCCCAAGCACCCCTTCTCCCCTGCGTTGAAATGCCACATCTCTGCCACCCTGCTGACTGTGACGGGTGCTCGCCCGGGCACAGGTGCCCGCTCGGTGAAGCGATGGCGCTAATGAGCAGAAACCGTCGTGTCTGAGCGTCTGTCGCAAGGACAAGGCCACGTCTGCTGCGGGCACGCCTTACGACCCCTTTGCTCCCGACCAGCCCCCAGGAACAGTTACCAATGGAAAAGACAGCCCTGAAAAAATGTGTGGGGGGCAGTGGCGCTCAAACGTGGCCCCGGGAGGAATCCTGCCACACCGTGACCAGTTCCTGCGCACACAGAGGACTGGAATACAGCTTCCCAGATGGTCCTAACCCTTAGTCACCCCGTTCCGCTCCGTTCTAGCCAATGCTGTTTCACTTCTTCGGGAAAATGCTGGATTCTGCCGGCTGCACCGATGTTGCCTGCTGCAGGGTGGAGGCCGCCGCAGGGAACACAGGTGTCACAGGGCCAGCGCCTAAACCTCCCGCCCGCTTCTAATTTCACCGAGAGAACTGCACACAGGCACACAAGGTAGCCTCCTGAGAGCCCACGGCCAGAGCTGCTGCTGGGCCCCATCTTCTGGCCCCCCTGAGCGTCCCGCTGCCTCACCTCCCGGGGCTGCTCCTGCACCCTGCGAGCTGTTTGTGCAATCCACGGCTGGAAGGACTCAGCACTGGTTGGCCCAACTCTCATTTGTTCAGAACAGGAGACTGCAGCTCAGAGAGGGGAGCAACTTGCCCAGAGTCACTCAGCTACATGGGGATCTGAGGATTCATTGCACACTGGGCCCTGGCCCCGGTTCCTGAGGCCTCAGCCCTAGTCTGCGTCCTTGAGCCCCTTCATGGTGGATCTCGAGCCTTGGTCCCTGACCCTGATGTCAGCCCTCTCCCGGGGCCGGCTCCTGCGTCTGCTGGCTCCCTGCAGAGCAGCTGGGGGCCTTCTCAGCTGCGCGGGCGGCTGTGCCCGCACAAAGATCTCGAGTCTTTGATGACCACAATGCTCGGTGCTGATTGACAAACGAGCTGGTACCTGAGCTGCTCAAGCAGAGTAATGACACCGTGTGTTAGCTCAAGGGCCGGCGGGGCAGCCCAGATAAAAACAAAAGGCCGGGATGGTCTGGGGGCAGCCTGCTGGGCCTCTGGGGCTCGGGGTCTTCATGCAGGACGGGAATCAGTCACTCCTGAATGCTATGTCCGGGCCTGCACCAGCATGCTGGGTGGTCCTGGGCTGGCCGCTTGTCAGCTCGTGCTTCTCCCACATCTCCGTCCCGCCGCTGCGACAGTTCCCGCCTGTCAATCACTCAGCAACTCAAGTAGTTACCAAGCCAGGCACTGCCCCAGGCTAACAATAATAACAGTGACAGCAAGGACAACAGTAATAGTAAGGACCCTGAAAACACCAGTGTTCCTATTTCATTTAATCTTCACAGCAACTTTGTGAAATAAATACTATTTTATCATAAACAGATCAGAAGATCAGATTTTATAGATCAGAAGCCTGGGTTACAGAGAGGTGAAGCAGTTTCCCCACTGCCACATCATAAGTGTTGGAGGCAGCATTCATTAACTTGGGAGCACATCTGTCTGGCTGTAGACCAGTGAGGGACATGGGGTAGAAAGTACAGCTCTTGCCTCCAGGCTTGCTTGCTCTTAGAAGGGGACACAAAGAAGAAACAGTTTGCTTTCTTCCACTGGATACCGTAACAGCTGCAAGCAATAGCTGGAACCATGGCAACCCTTTTGTGATATTGAGGAAGAGGCTGACATGTTGAGGATGAAAGAGCAGCAAGAGGGAAGAACATGGGTTCTCGATGATGGCACCCAGCTAACCATCTATGGAGCCACCAAGCCTTCCGCTTTCTTTTCCTGCAGGGAAAAAATATTTTCCTTATTGTATAAACTGCCTTGGATTGGGTTTCTGCTATTTAGAACCAAACACCTCCTCTCTGGTTCATGGTCTAGAAGGGAAACATCCTTCAGAGTGACCCTTCTGCAGGGAAACTTCCCGACAAATGTAAGTGCTCAGTAAGTGGGGGTCATTATGACGCAGATGATGGTGGTGGTGGTGATAGTGTTGCTGAGGATTCTGCTGTTCCTGCCAATATGGAAGGCCTGACTTTTAGAGAATACAGGCTTAGCATTTCCAGCCCATATCCTTTCAGGCTTGAACAGGATGATCTCAGGAAAGGCAAGGCATGACAAGGACCACTGCTTTGAGTTATCTTGGAATGCTAGTTTCTGCTCTTCTCCTCGTCTGAGTAGCAGCCACATACTGAATCTCAGCACCAGTCGGGCCAGGCTGGGCTTCTACTCGTGTTAGCATATCCAATACTCGAAGCCATCCCGTGACATTGGCACCATCCTTATTCTCCTTTTACAGATGGGGAGGTCCCGAGATGTTGAGCAGTTTATCCCCCCAAAACACAGGAGGAACTGGTGAAGCCAGGATTTGAATTCAGGTTTGGCAAATACTTTAATCTGCAGAGTGGGTGGAAACGGGAGTGTTCATCAGGGCCCACGGGGTGCACATCACTGTGGTCTTGGAGACAGACACACGTGCACAGACGTGGCCCAGAAATCTTTCCTCAGAAAATCCATCCTGTAGCAGGAAAAGTGCCAGTGTGTAAGGATATATTTACAAGGATATCTGTTACGGCATCATATGGTGTGGAAGCAAAAAACCAGACAAATAGACCAAACAACCTGGACACAAACAGAACATCCCTCAGTGGGGAGGGGGAACCGTGGCCCATCTGGGCTATGGGACATCAGCAGCGGATGAAGGAGGAGGGGGTCGGGGAGCATCGGGGGGGCCACCCCTGTGAGGAGAAAAATAAACTTATGTGAGCGGTAATGTTTATGGTTTCATCTCACTTGGGTAAAAAACAGAGATGGAATCTCCATTTGGGTATACATGGTTGTATTTGATTGTGTAAGCATAAGACAGGCATGGCAGGAAGTGTGCCACACTGCTCACACACGGAGAGCAGAAACAAACCAGGTGGAGCTGGGGGGGGGAGGGCCTTACAAAACACTCCTTTAACAAAATGCACCACCAATCTTTAGACATATGGAAAAGCCAAACAGTGAACCATGAGCCATTTCCTTGGATGACTCCTATTAATGCTCCCTAAGTAAACGTGGTATATGTGTGTGGTGGGCGGAATTGATATGGCTCCCTGACCTCTCCCCACTCCCCACATCCACATCTTTGGGCTCCCCTCCTCTTGATTGTGCCCACAACCTGCAACCTGCTTCTGACCCATAGAATATGGCAAAGGTGAAAGATTTTGCAGATGTAATTAAAGTCATCACAGAGCTGATTTTGAGTTGATCCAAAGGGCGATTCTCTTGGGTGGGACTAGATTAATCAGGCGAGAGCCTATAAAAGAGAGACTGAGACACTCCTTGATGTCAAAGACTCTCCTATTGGCCTTGAAGATGCAAGCCATCATGAGGTCCACAGCTGCAAGAAAAAGACTTCTGCCAAAAACCCAAGGGAGCTCAAAAGGAAGTCTTTCCCAGTTGAGCCTCTGATGAGAACACAGCCCAGGAGACACCCTGATTCAGCCTTGTGAGACCCCAAGCAGAGGACCCAGTGAAGCTGTGCCCAGATTCCTGACCCTCAGACACTGTGAGGGAGTAAATGTTTGTTGTTTTAAGCCACTAAGTTTGCAGTAAATTGTTACACAGTAATAGAAATGTAATGCAAAGCCCACAGCTAGAAAATTGGAACAGTACATAAGGGAATAACATGCAAAACCCAGGTCCGGCCCTTTTCACGCCCTGTCTCACTGTAGTGTCTGATGCCCCTTAAAGAACATCTTTCGTGTGCAAGGGGACCTCAATGGTGGGGAGAGGGGTTTGTTTTCAAGTATATGTGAATGATTTCCCCCCATTTACCTCCATAGAATATGTAGTATGCCCTCTCTTAAACAAATCTTGCTTGTTTTCATTTAACACTGTGTTCATTTAGCACTTTTTTATTAGCTCCTCTCCCCGCACCCCCCCCCCCCACCGTGCCTCCTGAATTCTCTTTCTCTGATGAAAAGGGGTCTTTTCTTCCACTCTCATGTGGACCAACCCTCCCCATTCCAACTTCTGACGGGTGAAGGTTTGGCAGAACCACAGATAACTCAGGTCTCTGAAAATGATTAGGTCAGCTAATGGATGCTTAGAGCCTGTAAAATTCACGAGGCTGTCAAATCATTTCCAGACACAGGAGGGACGAGCAGCAGAAGGGCTGGGAGCCTTGGCAGAGGAGGAAGCTGGGGCTTTATGGAGCCTGGAGACAGAAGGATGGGTGGCCCCACTCTGCCTTTGGGGCATTTTGGCAATCTGAATGTATTTTATTGGATTTTTTTTTCGTTATAAAAGGACTGTATGATTCTTTAACAAGTCAAGTGATTCAGAGGTAGATAAATGAAAAGATGAGCTAGGAATGCGCCTACAGATACCCTGGGGAAAGTGCCCCAAGGTGTGAGTTCAGGAGTGTAACAGCAGCGTGGTTTCATGGCCACCCCAAACGAAAACCCCAGAGTATTGAAAGAGTTAGATAAAGCGTGGCACATCCACATGTTAGAATGCCAGATGGCTGTTAGAAACGAAAACATGGTCGTATGTTGTGTCAGAATAACACAGAGCAACCAGAATGAACAGTCCCTAGCCACAGGCAGCAGCACGGATGAATCTTACCTACGTCACGTTGAGCAAACGGAGCCACACACCATACGATTCCATTTACATGAAAGCATAAAAACAGGCAAAGCAAACCTGTACCGTTGGAAGTCAGGGCGATGATTGCCCCTTGATGGGGGTGGCGGGGGAGAGTTGCAGAGGGGGAGAGTTTCTGGGGGCCGGTAACGTTTCTTGGTTTGGGTGATACTGCTCGGGTGTGTTCAGCTGGTAAAAATCCGTCCTGCTATACATTTATGATCTCTGCACTTCTCTGTAGGTGTGTTAGACTTTGGTTAGACGTTTGAAACTCAGTACCTCTTGTCATGACAAAATGTGACCACGTTTGTATACAATTCACACGCAGCACGTTGTTACAAAAGGAGACGTTTTAGAAATCCAGCAAAAAACGGTTTATGAATGATCTGAAGTCAAAAACGAAATACAGCTGACCTTTGAACAACAAAAGCTTGTACTGCGTGGGTGCGGCTACATGCGGGTTTTTTCCCATAAATACAGTCCAGTACCGAAGATGTGTTTTCTCTTCCTTACAATTTTCTTAATAATGTTTTCTTCTCTGTAGCTTACTCTGTTGTGAGAATACAGTACACAGTACATACAACACACAAAACATGTGTGAGTCGACTGTTTACATTATGGGTAAGGCTTCCAGTCAACAGTGGGCTGTTGGCCAAGTTTTGGGGGGAGCCAAAAGTCACCCACGCATTTTTGGCTGTTCAGGGCGGTCGGCATCCCTAACCCCTCACCCCTGGTTGTTCGAGGGTCAACTGTAGTTTTGCTTTAAGGAAACGAAGCAGTTTCAGGAGGCCGGCGGAAATGAATAAAGGAGGCCTGGGGGACGCAGTCCTCTCTGCGGGGAGCTGAAGAGGAGGAAGCGGGACCGAGGCAGCGCTGGTCTCCTAACAACGACCTCCGGCTCACACCTCGTTGGCCAGAGTGTGGTCACATGACCTCCTCTAGCTGCAAGGGAGCCTGGGAATCCTAGTCTTTTGCTGAGTTCTGTTGCAAGGGGAGAAGGACAGAAAGGGTCTTGACAACAGGATAGTCCGTACCCATAAAGGGAAGCACTCACCCAATAAGCCCATTTTGAGGGGGTCCCGGAGGACGAGGAAGCAGGATGCCTCCCGGTTTGAAGACCGGGATATCCAGGGCCCAGGGCCCGCGCCCACCCTGGCTGACGGCCCTGGCGTTTATGGCTCCAGCACGGACCTTCCAGGACTGCTCCACTACTCAGGGTCATGAGGAATTAAGGCAATTTCGGGCAATTAGGGCGAGGAGGAAGAGGAAACTGCCATTTCTCAAGTACTTCCCATATGTGAGGCAGTGCGCCTCTCACGGGCCACATGCCACCCTGGGGAGTGGGGATTTAGTGCCCGTTTTGGAGATGACCCAGCCGGAGCTGAGTGTGGCCCGGTGCTACTTTTCGCGCTTGGCCGTTTTACACCAGGCACCGTGCGTGCTGTGTGCTTGGCCTCTGTCCCTCTCATTGCACTTCTGGAAGCACTACTCTCTTGCACAGACGAGGAAAGGAAGGCCAGAGAGGTCATCGCATGCTCCAAGTCGAAGGGACAGGCCCCACTCGCTTGCTCCAAACCCTAGCTCTTGCTGCCTCCCCCCCAACTCTTGACAGTGGCTGTTTGGCAGGCCCAGGGTAGAGGCGGGTGATTGGCACGCTAGAATATTCTGGAAGGAAGCTTTCCCTGTCCATCCATTCACCCCATAGGGAGCTCCACTCCACTTCTCAGGCCTGTGAGCCATGGGATCCCAGGCTCTGCGCTGATGACGAACTCCAAATTTCCTAACACAACCAGTCCTCGGGAGATATCTGGGGCAGCCCAAAGTGTCCCCTCGGGTGACCTGGGACACTGGGTTCACAGCAAGGATACTGTGCATCCCGTAGGGCTGCCTGAGGTCCAGGTTGTCACGGCGGCATGCTTGGTGAGCACGCGCCCACGCCTGCTCCTGCTGCCTACCTCGGCCCTCCTTGCTGAAGGGAACGGCTCCTGCAGCCCAGCCCACAGGGTCTGCATGCCTCCCCGTGTTCTGGACACTCCTCACTGATGAGAAAGTCCAGAAAAGCCGATCTTGCTCCATTACCTTCGGTCCTTTTCCAAAGGGTCTGATTTGTCACCGGCGTCCCGCCCCAGCCCCTCGTGGGTTGATGCAGAATATACAAAGAAGGCAGCTCTTTCTGGCGTGATGCATGGGCCCCTCGCTGGGGGCCCATCCATCTCCACAAGACCCCGTCCTCGGGCCAGGTATCGCTGAGGTCACGGCCCCGGAAAGGTCGCCAGAGGTCAGATAAGGATGATGTTGAGTCTGTCAGTGATTCGTTGGCTGCACAGACCCCGCATGATGGGGCTCTGCTCAAGGAATTAGTGAGATTTGTCATGGGGTCGGTTAGGGTGGGGAGGGGGCATGCTGGCCGAGGTCACAGGGTCACTTTGCCTCAGTGACTGAGTGCCTTACGGCTAATGGGGATGCCCCATAGCTCCTGGGGTCCAGCATCTGGGTCCAGCATCCCCTAGAGAACCCAATGCCGAAGAAGCACAGAGACACTATGGAGGAGGAGACCCATCCAAGCCCTGGCAGAGTTGCTCAGCAAATAGTAGTTGAACAAACACATGCACGAATGAATGAACTTGCCATGTGGCCTGGAGGTGGGGCCCATGAATTGTCTTGGGGCCTAGCCTCACCTCACTTCCTTTGGTCAGAGCACTCTGACTTGCCTTTGGGAGGAATTATTTCTTCCAATAAATAATGTTCTGTGCAATCATGCTGTTCTGCCCTCCCCAAGCCATGGGGTGGGCCCATGACTCATGCTGAGGTGGCCAGTCCTTTCCCCACCTAGAAGCTGGACTGGGCACAGAGGGAAGAAAGCACAAACAATAATCAGAGAGGTTCATCCCAGCGGAGATACCAGGGAGGTGATTCTTGGCTGAAGAATGAAAGAAGTCCCCGGCCTGTCTGGGGGGCGGGGGGGCACAGGCAGCATCTCCTACCCTTGCCTCTCCCCCTCTTTGCTCTGCCCCCTCTGCGTGTCACACTCCACCAGCGC